GGGGCACATAAAATTGACATTCCTATGTGTCTCCTCCACCGTCGATGTAAAGGGTGGAAAGGGACTAAAACTAGGTCTCTGGCACCACACTCATCAGACGAAACGCGGAATTGCTTCCGCGCAAATTGTGTGGTCGTGGCATTGCTGTCGTGGTATTCCTATAAAAAAACTATGGTGTCCGAAATAAAGTACGTATAGCCCAAGATGTTTAATCCGACTGAATTATACAAGGTGTGATAGAGACAACATGTTAACATTAATAATTATTAATACACCTACTTTACAAAAACTATTAAAACCAATTTTTTTATTGTATTTCAGGTTGATATGACAAACGTACCTCGGTCATCCATCGATATAGAACACGACGGGTTTTATTTACTCAAGAAGGATTCACAGCGCCGTCTCACTCTCTCCCGCGTGTTAGAGCAGGACAGCGAGAAGATTTGCTCAAAATGGATGCTTAGCATTCAACAGGACTTCGGGAATACGGTTTTGACGCTGGTGAGTTTAGTTTCCAAAGTGCGACTTAATTTTTTATTATATTATGACTAGCTGTCGCTCCCGGCTTTTTCCGAGAGACCGTCAGAATATGTCAACATTTTTTTTTCAAATCTGTTAAAACACGTAGTAATATCTATCCATCCAAACTTTTGTAATTTATGTAGATGCTAATTGTTGCTCGCGACTTCGCCCGCTAGAAACATATAAAATAGTCTATGTTACTCAGCGATAACAGCTTTTTATAGGTGGAAGATTTTTTAATCGGTTGAGTAGTTTGTGAGTTATTTCAATACACACAAAAATCCAAAAATACAAATCTTTCCTCTTTTATTATTAGTATAAATTATTAAGATAACATTATGGAGGCGTTTTCTACTATTCGGACACTTAGGAATGTCCATTATTAGTAAGATTTTAAATATTTAAAATGCAATATTTGTTCTAGAACCATCTAGAGACGCTGCGGTGTGCGCTCAAGGAGTACATAATGGACCAGAACAAGTCTGTGATAGAACAAGCTATCACCACGCTGAAGGAGGAGTTGGATTTCGATGCTAACGCCATCAACGAGCTGCACTCCGCCATCTACATGTTCCAGGAGGCGGTGAATGTGGTGCTGAGGATGCACAGCATCAAGCCGCACTGGATGTTCGCGTTGGACAATCTGGTGAGGAATGCTGTGCAAGCCGCCATCACTGTTTTGTCGCCAGGTGAATATGTCGCTTTAATTTTTTTTTAGATTTAATTCTGTACTGTTTTCAAAACTGTTGATTGAATTCTAAGACATTTATTATCTCTGTCTATTTTTGTACTAATTAAGATTGGTTTTAAAATTGGATGCATTATATTTTATACGTAACTTTTTCTATATCTCTTTCAATCGTATTACTTCTGTAACTTACAAGTTTTAGAAAGTACTATATAATAAGAGACTAGAATTTAGTCGGAAAATAGACGCATTGGTTAAAAAATTACCCTCGTGATGTACCAAGAGGGTATTTTTCTTCCATCTGTCCCTTCTCTGTTAATCCTTAATTTGATTTTAACTGTTACACAGGACATAAACTAAAGAAAGCTGATTATTTTAATTATTTACAAGGTTCTTTGTTAAAGTCCTAAACATTCATAAGTAAAATTTTCATAAACTTGACTTTTATCTCCTGCTAAATTAAGTGTTAAAGTCATCTGCTTATACGAGTGTCGAGCAATCAATTCGCTGTATTGGCGAATTCCCGTGGCCGTTTTCTCGCGTTATACACAAAGATTGATATTGTGCAGAGCTGGGCGCCAACCTGGCGGGGCAGGAGGCGCGGCGCGGCGGCGCGCAGGAGGCGGGCACGCCCTCCGCGCTCTCCACCGCCACCTCCGCGCGCGACCAGCACCAGCTGCACCAGCTGCACCAGCTCAGACAGGAGAACAACAAGTATATCATAGCATCTTATTATAAACTAGTTTTCGTCCGCAACTCTGTCCATAGGATTAAAAAGAATAAAAGTGAGTGGTCTATGTGTTTGTCCGGATTATGCTATACATCTATACCAAATTTTATCAAGATCCGTTCAGCTGGTTAACTCTAACAAACATCCATCCATTTAAACTTTTGCATTTTATAGTTAGTAACGCTTTAACTCGTAAATTCACGTGAAACATTTTACGTAAAGATATTTCTGCAAAATTTATGCGAAAATATGAATTTAATAAAATTTAATAAAATATTATGAAATTTGGCATTGAAAAACTTAGTCTGAAAAGATAAATAGTCTACCAATTTATTTATTTTTAATTCCGCATGACGCAGTCGCAGCAAGCTAGTAAATGAAACAGTTATCTTATTATGAAATTATATAATTTGGTTCAAAATAACAAGTTATTTTAATTGTTCTAGATTACATCAAGAGCTATTAGAAAGTTATCAACAAAATCAGGCGTTACTGCGATTGATGTTGGAAGAACAGAAAATGCAGACACAAATTTTCAAAGAATTCATCGAGAAGAAACCTAGGTAAGTCATACACAAGCGAATTACACAAAACACTAATAAAAACACAAAATCACAATATAAAAATGTCATTTATTTCAGCAACGAACCTGAAGATAACTTAGAATACGACATCGCTGAGCTTGAAGTTATCCGCGAGTGGGCGTCTAATCGCAACGTACCAGTACAAGCTGTTAAAGCTCTCGCTGCACAAGGATTCACACTAAACGAGCTGTTACATCACGCTCAAAGAGAAGACTTAGCTAAACTTAACCTCAAGTAAGTAACTTACCTAAAAATCTAGGAAAAAAAATAATGAAATTTGACTTAGGAGCCCTTAAGAAGCATATCACTTAAAGACCGTTAACGCATTTCCAGTTCTTCTGGAATTGCAAATGTTGATGATATTGGTGTTTACGCTGCTAATTTAAATAAATAAAATAAAAATTACCATTTATTAACCAAAAACATTTATAAAATATAATACGAAAAAAGTAAAATTCATTTATAAATAGGAAGATGATTTTTAACAGACTTAAAAAGGTAATTAAAATATTTCCAGAGGCGGTATCGAACTTCGTCTCTGGCGAGCGATATTAGAACACCGTAATCAAAACTCGAACCACCTTCGTCGTACGAGCAGCACCGAGACGGATATGGACACAAACTCTATCGTAATGGTCGACTGCCAGAGGTGCAAAACATCGAGGACCATATCTAGTATCTCTTCGTGCTCTAACAACCCTACTATCGTGATCAGAGATCAAGTGAACGGAGACAATACTGTTGCGGAATACTACACGGAGAACGGAGTTGCGAACCTCTGACTATTGCGCGGGTGGTGCTCTCTACAGTAATCGGCCTTGGTATTTAATCGCGACTCTCCTTTATCCTACAGCTTGGCATTATTTTGCCTTAAAAGCGCATACTATTGTCTATACAAGATACTTATGTGTATGGTTTTTTATCCAAAAATTTAAAATTCTAGTAAGAATTTACTAAATTATTAAGAGAATATTATCTTGTTTTGTGAAAATAAGAAGCAATAATTTAAATATACTTTATGTTGGTTTTTGCGAATTTTAATAGTTTATTTATCCGACTCGAGGGACCATACAGTCCTTCGAGTCGGATAAACGATCAAAGCCATTTTATGGGCTTAATTAGCAGTTTTTTAACGTAACGATTATTCAAAATAACTATTTGCTTGCTAAAAAGTCGCAATAAATAACCGCTTAAGGCCTTGAGTGTATCACCCAATAATGTTCATATGTATATAATCATTTTTACTAGTCTGTGTATAATTAAAAAAAACTGCATAATATTAAGCTGTTATTTTTATAGTAAGCAATTTAGAATTTGCGAATGTCAGATGTCGCTTCAGAATATAACTATTTCTTTGTTATTATTAATTATTCGAATAGTTTTTACGTAAGTATGAAATAATATCTGAAAAGAAGTCTTTCAAAATAAACAAATTTGTGTTACCAGAAAAGAAGTGGATGGAATGATTTACATTATTTTTAAAGTAAAGACCATTTAAAATTATTGATATATTTTCAATTCGATTTAAAATGTATTCACTTATATAAAAATAGTTTGAAATACAAATAATTATACACAATTACGATTATAAAAGGTTTCTTGTTATACATAATGGTATAAAAATTTGGTATCATGTTTTCGTACACGCATAGGATAGCTTAGTTAAGATTTAATGTCTGCCTTCGCTAATGTTTGGTGCTACCAATTGTGATGAAAGCTAAGCAAAGTGCCTTTAATACGCTTCTTGCATAGACTTACAAATAAACTTATATAAAAATACAAAAATATAAAACTGTTTTTATATCAAATTTAAAAAAATATCAAATGTTTACTATTACTACAGATTATAAATTAAAATAAAAGCTAAAAGCGATATTTTTATAATCTTTGCATAATAAAAATCACATACGCTTTCTTTGGCAGGCTAATATTAGATAACATTTAATTTTATGTGCCATATGTATATTTATTTAGTACCTACTCTGTAATAGTATGGTTAAATGTATTAACTTTACGTTAAAAATTGTTATGTAATTAAAAGTATATAAGATACCTACGTACTAGGATATATTTACATTTTAAAACTTTTAATAATGTTTTAGTCTTAATTTCAAAATTGTTAGTGCACTATAACAACGCAACGTCTCTACTCTACACGTAAGGAGTGAAAGAGATGGATACTTATGATGACGTCACAGGGACATGTCTAGTGTACAGAGTGTTTAGTTTAATTAGAATTACGATTATTTCTAACCGTCGCCCCGCTCTGTTCCCACGTGGAAACAGTTGAGAATAAAAAGTTTCATCCGTCCCACCGAATCGATCTTCGTTTATTTCATAACGGTTGCATCTGTCATCTTACGGGTGATAGTGGGACTAAAAGGTGGGACGGATTAAACTTTTTATTCTTATGTGGGGATAGAGCGGGGTGACGGTTGGGAATTATCCAGTAGTAAGACATGGGTAACTCGACTAAAGTTAATGATCTGCAGATGAATTCGCATGGGTGAAGCCGATCAGAGAACTCATTCACAGATCATAGATTGGCTCGTGGTACCTTGGCTCCCATAGTCTAAGAGCTATAAACTGCTTATTTACTTATTGAGTCACAGCTCAACGGTTTAAGTCTGTGAATTGATCTGTGGACAGGTTCAAAGTTTTACACATGTCTACTAGTAACCATAACAACTAATTTTGTCACTGACATTGTCACATTTCACAAGAGTTTTGTTTTGCCCACACATTATATGCTTTTCGAAGTATAATTTGTTAACCTGTTAATTTTTGTATATATTTTTAGTTACGTATCGTAATTTGTAATTTACACATGTATTGTAAGCACTATCATAACAAATACTCAATAATAAGAATAATTGTAAAGTACAAAATATGTTAAAGTATTTACTTAATTCGTTTTATATAAGCTTCGATTAGTGTCGCCTGTGGCATCTTTCATTTCACTAAGTACTTATTACATAATAAAATAATTAAAAAGCTAATAAAAAATACCTAGTCTTTCACAGCACAGGTAGGTTATCTTTGAAAGATATGTCAGTACTTTAGTGTGGTATAAACTTATTTTTAGGGATATGCCACACGAGCGGGAAGTTCCGCATGAGTAAATAGATTTATATACCAAATGCGGCTACACTACGAAAAACAAATATGCTAATATTTTGAATAGCAATAGAATAAAGATAGCTGGCATTTTGCGTGCTTGTCAGTGGTTCTTTTTGTATCTTTAACCAACTTCATAAAGGAGGTTATTTTTAAATTACAAAGTGCGGCTTCTTGACGCTCGTGTGGCATCTCTCTTATTGTTATTTCTATGTTTATGTTAGTGTTTAAATATCCTCGTATGTTTTTATTGTCTCATAATAAAAAAATCTAACCAAAAACACGCATTTTAAGAAAATAGATTATGTAACAAATAATTGCTTGTAGAATCTCATATTGGCAGAGTATCAAAACAAGTAATTGTAAATTATGCATGGATTTTGTTCTATACTTTATAAAAATTATATTTATCTAATTTGAAAGGTTCATTTATAAAATTTTGTGAAAATAATCAATAATATGTTGTTATTACGTAATAATTAAATAATGTTGTTTTTCTTTGTATTTCGTTAAGTTGAAATTAATATTGATAATAAAAAATGTAATTTTTTCGAGTAGCTATTAAAGTTATGATATCACAATTTTTGTTTTATTTCACATTAAAGTAATTTTAAACAAAAAACAAAGCTAAACAAATTCTCGTATCACTTTATCCTGCCAGATACAGAATCCAAGATCCTGTATATAGAAAACTAAAAATAACAAACACTTCATTCTATTTCGTTATTGAATTTAACTGAAAATTACTACTAAAAGGTGCTTATAAAGATTGAGCAGACGTGAAAACATAACTTGTAATAAAAACCTAATTTATATGTAAATGAAACACATAGAGTTTGGTATTGCTGATGTTACAATCTTAGTTCCCCAGGGACGTTATAAGACGTTCTCGAGACATTAATTCACCCAATGTTTGCGGGCACGTCTGTTCTAATTTACATACTGCGGAACATATTAACTTGCGTTACGGCATAACGACGTTCCTATTAGTTTGCTACTGTTACGGGTACTTACACGGGTTTGATGGGTGACATGCATGGCAGAAATCTCGGATAATGTTTATCCACTAAGCCATATAGTAATAGGATTGTGTAGTCACGTTGTCAAATTATTGTTGAGGCTACAGTACAGAGGTACAGTCGAGGACGTTTATTTCCTACCCACTACGGTGAAATGTCTGGTGCAAAAAATGCTATTAAGTATTAAAAATTGTAACACATACCTAGCTTTTATGGTGATAGTTTTATGTACTTTTGATTCTTAGTGGGAAGCAAACTAATTCTTTGATTGTACATGTATTGTTTGCTTTAGGGATTTTTATTATAAGATACCAGCAATAAAAGTCTAATTTTATACAAGAAACTAAATTATTATCTACAGAGTAAATATCGTTTCTAATATGTATAGTGTGTCTAAATAATTTAAATTAGTTTGACAATTAATTTCAAATATAGTAGGGATGGGTTGTATAAGTTGGAATCGATAGATTTATAGTTAAAACTTATGAATTAAAAAAAAAACACTGTTTTCTCAAAATAATAATGACCATAACAAAAAATGAGAGTAAATAAATGTTTATTACTACTATAGCCGTACGTAATCGGATTTCGATTATTTCTGTCATCTAAATTCTCTACACTATAATCAATACTAGAATTGTCCTATAAATTAGTTAATAAGAAAATAATAATTTTAGTCGAGATCGATAATTATTTAAATCGAATATCGATAATTCCGAATTGTTCGCTATGCGTGTTTGTTTCGTCACTATGTCTGTCTATTAAGTGTGGCATTTACCTTCATAGAAATTGAATTCGATACTTCATATACGTCATTTATCAAACTAATCTCTTTTGTTTAGACAAACTGTAGTCTATATAAGTTGTAAAACATATTCAAGAGCCACAAAATTTTCTTCAACACAATGTAGCTATAATAGTCTCAAAACTACCAACGGAGATCAGCCATAAAGAGCGTTATGTTCGACCCGAGCACTCGTCCCTTGCGATAGAACCTGTTGATACAGTCCTTACGAACAGCCTAACCGTTTACGTTTTATCGTCTGATGGTTTAATTTTTTCACCAGTAATGCTATGGAGTATTTCATACCAGGAAAAATATAATATTGTGTCGAGTTGTTTAAGAGTCCGAAACGTTTTACATGTCTAAAAATCAATAAATTAAATATATTTACCGTACATAGTATAAATGTTAATTGTAAGTTAAAAGAAATTCGAAAACTTTCTACGAAGTAAGTTTTCTTTATTGCATTAGGGGTGGATGTCTACTCAATTACTGAAGCGACTTAATTATATTAGATATGCTTGAGACGTTGGATTTGAAATTCAATCGCGTTGCCCCAAACCGGTGTCAGACAGTAGAAAGAATTGTTAATTTTATTAGACTCGCCCGAAGGCTTTTTAATGTAAATTGAGAGACTACCTTATAATGAATTTTATACGCCTGTGTTTGCCTGCAGTTTTGTGTGCGTCCAGACTATTAAAGGCGCTTATGATTGCTTCTTTTCTCCGTAAATGCCAACTTTAAATAACTTGAAAGGTATTCTTGACAAAGAAAATTCTGAAAGAGAAAAATTCTAAGTATTTGTTAGCTATCAAAGTTTTATTTTGGAATAGTTACTGTATTGTAGAATAAGTTTTCTATTTACGAGCTTTGTTTAAAGTTTAATAAAGTAGAAAGATCTGTTTTT